CCCCCTTCCCCAAATTTTTCTGCGGCAATGATGACATCATTAAAATCGCCCTCAATTAGCCATGGACTATTGTAATTATCATGCAAAGATTTTAATTTATCCCATAATAAGCTACGAACCTGATAACAAGTATTTGCATAAATAGCAGAAAATAACCATTTAGAAGGGTTAGGCCATACATGAACTATATAGTGAATTTCTTGTTCAGACATAGTGAGCTCCTTTACAGTGATGAGATCGTTATTCCAGAAAATCACTAGACCCCCTGATAGACTATTGGCTGGTACTTATGACATGTTAGTATAATAAAAATTATCTCTAATGGTGGAATGATCCTGCATGTGAGTTTCTAAAAGAACTGCTAGAACATGCCTATGATTATCCAATAGTGCTCTAAACTGATGTCTAAATTCCTCATTGTGTGTCCCCCGACAATTCCAAATGATCATATTCATGATGGGGCGTGATGGAGGTTCCACAATGAGTGGGTTAGGAAGTGGAAGTTGTGGAGCTGTTGGTACTTCCTGTGTCTGTACCCTTGCATTAGGTATCTCACGAAGTATCAGAATTATAATCATGGCATACTTTCCCGCTTCGCAACTAACAGTTGCCCGAAAATTTAGACTGCATGTTAACATTTCTGGCGAGTATTTGAGTATGAACTTTTTCGCGTACTGTTCCTTTGGGTTGTAGAGATATATCCCCTTGATCCAAAGAAGTTACGTCCTTGTTTCCCTTAGTTCTGCCATTATCTATGATATCTCTTGTTGTGTTTGGTCGTCTAGTGCATTGGTAAATGGATGTGGGGTTGGTGGTGGATTATTCATTGGTGTTAATGGGTCGTAAGGACTGGTTGGTGATGGATATGGTGTCTCTGGGTTGAATGAATCCTATGGTTGAAACCATGGTGCATAGATGGTCCCCGAGTGATGTGGAGGATAGAAAGGAAGTAGATTGATTGTGGGGCTCATTGGTTGAACTGGTGGGTGCATAGCATAGTTTCGTGGATGATTCTGGGAGGAGGATGGGCGATTGTGATCGATTAGGAGAGGAGTGTGAGTGGTGTACCATTGACTTTGGTTGTATTCTTCCATGCCCAGTCACATTCCCTCCGTGACTATCTCTGCTAGGTGTGTCAGATTTTGCACTAGGAGGATGCCTTCTTAGTTTTGTAGTTCTATGGTGAATGTTAGTGCATAACCATGCAAAGCCATCTCCATCCATGATTGGAGTGGTTGATCCATTGGGCGTGCTTGGGAGGTGTATACCGATGGCGGAGTCGGACGTGGGTGATAAGGGCCATCCATGGTGAGTCTGGGCAGGTGGAAGTGTTAGTTGTTTGATTTGACAGTGTCTCTCAAGTTGGTGTTTTGTGGGTTGTATGGGTGGTTTAAATGATACATGTTGTTTGCTTGAGGGTTTTTGTGTAGTAGGCTCTTGTATGGTGGTTGAAGCAGATGAAAAAGGAGGAGTAGCTTGGTGTGAGTGTATATGTAATAATGGGGATTGTGGTGTTGCAGGTAAAAGCAAACCTTACGTGTTGGTAGTAGTCTGTGGGTCTTGGAGAAAAGTTTCACATGGTTGTTCATCATTGTGTTCTACTGAGAGTGGTATCGTAGAGTCGATAGGCATGGTGATTGGGTCGTTTATTGTGGCATACAGGACGATCGCGTTAGGGCCTAGTGGTAAATGGGGAGATGCTTTTGAGGTGTTATTGCATGCTACAGTGATTGGTCGTACGTGGCTAGGTGTTATTAAATGTGATTGATGTGGAGTTGTGGGGCAAGGGTCCGTGTCTGTTGTGAGAGGGGCCGATACTATAGCTTTGTGGGCTACTTGTATTGTATCATAAGTAGTATAAAGACTTTGGGAAGTATATGGGTTGGGTATCTTGTTGTCAGCGTGAATTGGGCTTTTGCCCTTGTTAGTAGGTGGTGGGTTATGGTCGTTTGGTTAGGCCGATTGGTTATTCAGTGAGGTGGTGATGTCCATTAGTGATGGACCATTGAGGTCCAATTTAGTGCTAAGATGGTCGTCTAGGTCAGCGAGGTGTTGGGATTTATTATTAAAAGGAGATGCGAGTTTAGACGTGGAAGGGACCAGATCGTTATGCCCAAAGTTAGGCCCATTAGGGTTAGGAAACATACATGAATCCTGTGTGGGAGTAGATGAAGCTGCCTTCTTGTATAGCGTTGTCCTCTGATGTTCCTGGTGGCCTTGCTTTGTGATTAGGGAAGGATTTGCATGCGTTTTAAGTCGCTGGTTTTGTTTTTTTGGGAAGGTAATTGTGTGCCACGCATCGCCAGTGTTGTTGAGTGTTTGTGGTGACGATGGATGAGCATCATTTGGTACATGCATGGGAGAGAGGGGCAGGGTGGTAGTGTATTTGCAGTTCCAAGTTGGGTGGCCAAATCGACCACATTTCGTACACAATAAGTTAAGTCCCTCGTAAAGAAGAACTTGTTTGTTCGAGCCAATATTGTCATGTGTTTTAAGGGGTATTTCCAATGGAACTTCAATGCATATGCGGGCATATCTTCTCCAGGTGGTTGCAGAGGTGCATGTGTCCACCTTGAGTAGTTGACCAAGTTTATTTCCCACATGTTGTAGGATATCTAGATCATAGAATTTGATAGGCAATTCGAATAACCTGGTCCATAGAGCCGAGTAGGTTAATGATGCATGAGAAACAGTAAATTTAGGCTCCCACCTGCGGACGGAGAGAAAATGATTAAAAATAAACCATGGCCCTCCATGTAGAGTTTTGTGCACGTTGCCCTCTTATTTAAATTTTATAAGAAAAAAGTCTTAGCCTAGATCAATTAGAGGTAGTTCTTCAGAAGGTCTCCAAAATATTATGAGTTTATGTTTAAGTAATTGGTGGCCCATTTATTTGCCAAAAACCTTAACTATAATGGAAAACTTTCAAGGGGAGTATAGACGAGATTTATCCAAAGTTGATAAAGGAATGAAAGCATCTGAATTATCATTGTTCGCAGTTTTGTCTGAAAGGTCGATGTCACTTTGGATTGATTGATAGGTAGTTGGACAGGAAGAAAGTTGTGTTGAAAATTAATGTATGTAGGAATGTGGGATTTGTAGCAGTGGGAGGCGATAGGTCGATATGCATTGGATAGAGATCTGGGGGGGGGATCTGTATTCTTTGGTGTAGTGGGCGAGAGCTTATGAGCCATGATCAATAGTTTTGCATGAGATGAAAAAGCTAGTAAGTAGTGGTGGTTTGAAGATTTGAGTGTAAAGGTAGAGAGAAGGGAGAGCATCTCTCTCTAGGTATTAAGGCAATGTCATTGAATTTTCATTTTCACAATTCCACCTAAGGCTCTGCCTCTTCTTTCCTTCATTCGACTACTCCCGATTTTTGATGAAATTCAAAAATAGTCAGATTTACAAGTGGTAATTGAAAAATAGCTATTGTTTCAAAAGTAATAGAAATTTAGCCACTTTTCATGTAAAGATAAATTTGTACGAAAACACTGTTCAATCGAAAAATATTCCAGTATAATATACTGGAGTTTCAGTATAATATACTGGAGTTCCAGCATAATATGCTAGAAGTTCATACACAGGTGCTCCAATCTCCGGTATATTATGCTGAAACTTTCCGTGTGCTGGAGTTCCAGGAAGTTCATATAAAGGTGCACCAATCTCCAGTATATTATGCTGAAACTTTCCATATTGCAGCAAAATAGTGACTATTTTTTAATAACTTTGCAAATGCTGTCTATTTTTCAATTATCAGTGCGAAAACTTGCTAGCTCGTGCTATTTGTACCCGATTTTAACCCAATTAACTTCGTCTTGATCTAAATTTACTTTAGCTCAGTTAATGACCATCGAATGCAAACTAAATTATATCTCTTAAAGTAAATCAGACATTTTCAGTTCTTATAATTATCCCTGCAAGAATGAATGCGTCATAATTTATTGAACTTAGGGAACGTCCAATGGATTAATCAATTCTTTATAACGTATCTATCTATTTCTTTTTTAACAAATAAGCTATCAGTTGTCGACGTTTTCCTAGAATTTTCATCATCTATGCACAATTAAATTACTTAATCCTAGAATTTTCATTATCCACGCACAATTAAGTTACTTAATATGTAATTGTAGGTAATTTTAATAGCTTGGTACTGTTGATTAAATGATAAATAACCTGCTATAATATATGAAATTATGCTGATCATGCAAAAAATTAACAATGTCAATTTATATAACTTAAATACTAATCTGATTAGTTTTATGCTGACATTGATTTACCGTAATCCTTGTCTTTATCGCGTTCACGCCTATCCACCCAAAATAAACGTCAGTGAATCCGAAAAGTAATGCTTCTACGGCATTTGACATTATTGATTGACATATCCTTATGAAGTTAAGCAGCAAAATGAAAGCCGAAACAGCCTGCTAAATATAGAAAATATCAATTCCTTTTCACGCTTTTGGTAACTAAAATATCCTTACAAATCTTTGCCAAACAGGCTATCACCAGAGTGACGAATGACGATATGTGCTGCAGTAGGATAAGGTTTTGGCACAGAGTTTCCAAATGTAAAATGATAAGTCCAGTTAAGTTTTCAAACCTTACACATTCTGAAATTTCATCTAGCTTCCAATACTTAAAAACAAAATAACTTCAAGTGGATTTGAACGAAGATTGCTCCAGCAGCACTTGTGCAAAACTGTCTCTATCGCGATCATCAAAGCAGCCACAGCCACATTTTGTTTAATGGAAGAAAACAAATGATACTACCACAAGAATCACGTTGTTTCTAAATTTATCTTATGTCCCCCAAAAGAAAAAAAAAACAGATCTAAAGCAACCATTTTATCTCCTTATAGGAGATGGACCCCTGATACAATTATTAGTGATACCTGGGGGCTAGCACAGGAGCAGGGGGTGGGGATGGAATTATCCCCGCAACATTTTGGTGATTGAAATATCATTTAAAGAAACATATCATTGAGGAAGACAAAAAGCACCATAACATAGATGGATTTCAAATCCTCAGCTTTTGTGACAAGATACTCTCCAGCTTGGATAAAAATCCAATTAAAGTACAACGTTAATATAATTTATATGTCATATGTAATCAGAAATTTCACATAATTAGAAGTTAGAACTATAAAACAGACAAAGACACAATATAGCCACAATGAGAGGAAGAAGTAGACAGAAACTCTCTCTTCCTCATGGCCCAAACAAGAGTTGTGATTCATATTTTTCATAGTTTTAACTACTACAACAATTGGTCTGAGTCATCAGGTTCAAGCACAGATGCAGATTGATATCAAGCACTCAAGAGAATCAAGAACCTACAAACCCCTAGTTTTCTTGCAGCTACAAGGATTTTGGTTTGTCTAGTATAGAATCATTTGCCCCAAGGTCATCAATTGGTGGCCGCTGCTTATGATGATTGGTGGCTGATTGATAAGCCATTGCTAAAGCTAAGGCCTGGACATAAAATAAAAAAAACAAAATCATCGAGAGCATGAAAGAATAAATAAACAGCACAATCAGAAGTTCAAAGCCATCCAACTCTTGTTAAGTCCAGAAATCCCATGACTCAACAGCAAAGCAAAGCAAAGATGATACATTTATCCAAGGCCAAAAAATATATAGCACATACGTCCGTTACAAATCACTACTACACTAAAAAGAGCATCATAACTAAAGAACACTTACGATATGATCACGGTCTGGAGGAGCATATATGCCTGTAGTGATTGTTGTTCTCCTGCGAGTATCATTTGACGGTGCATCATATATCTTTTTGAATCCTGTCGGAACAACTACTACTGGGATACCCACAAGATTGCCAACACAAACTTTCTCCCAATCAGTTGCATTTCCAATAAACGCGTCAACTTTGAAACTTTCTCTCACTTGCTGAATCAATTTACCTCTAGCCCTTTGTGCCTGGTGGAGTTTCATACAAGTATTAATCTTAGTGTTACAAATTCTGAACAACTGTTTAAAAGTGGATTAAGACCTCCGTTCCATAACAAAGCCAATTTTGAGATGTCTGAAAGTATTTAATTGTTCAGTTTTTTCTTATATCAATGATAATCAAACAGAAGTACAATTTTAAACATCTGAACTNGAAAGAATTTAATTATTCAGTTTTTTCCTATATCAATGATAATTAAACAAAGTACAATTTTAAACATCTAAACCGAGAGAAACTTTGTAGATCAAGACAATTACCTGAAGATAGTCAACCGCAGATACGGCACGTGCTCGGCGAAGTTCAATAGGCCACTGATCTTGGGCTTCATATTCATCATCCAGATTTGACCGCTGCCATTTGTCGAAGTGAGCCAGCATCTCAACATCCATTGTGAAATTGAGGATACCTTGGGCAGAATCAACAGTGTAACTCAGGTTAAACGGGACCATATTCACTCCCTTTGATTGAAGTACATGAACAACCTGTCATCGCCGACACAATGCAATCCAGTTAAGAGATTCATCAAATAGGATAAAGAACCTAATTTACTCAGCCACATTCCGGTATTGGAAAATAGTCCCTTACTTCCATCTCAGCATCCTCAAGATATCCAACAGTAAGTTTTGTGATATCAACGGAGAACGGATCGCTAAAGGGTATGTCTCTGGATGAAACATCATCTGGGTCCTTTCCCCGAATGGCATCCAGAACAATCACACAATCCACAGCATTTCTACAAAAAGGGCCTAATTTATCCTGACAAAAAGTTAGATTTTAGTGTATTGTACTTAAAAATAATGTCAGGAAAAGGAATTGCCTGTGGAAGAAATATGAGTACCAAGCTTTCGGCTATGCTCATAACACCCGTTCGACCAACAGCTCCAAAAGTGGGCCGCAGTGCTGTCACGCCACAGCGAGAAGCTGGATAGGTAATAGAGCCGGCAGTTTCTGAACCGATTGCAAATGGAACCAAACCTGCAATATCACAGTCTCTCTCTCAAAACAAAACGTTCTGCCTACTAATCAGTAAATCAGCAAGAGACTATTCAATTCATTCTTCCAACCAGGCGATACAAACTGATATTAGATATGAGCACAATGGACGAATTTGCAAATATGGAAGACAGGATGGCTTGATCAGAATCTAATCTGGGATAGCTCAATAGTTCAAAGATACCTGCTGAGGTGCAAGAAGCAGGCCCTGCTGATGAACCTGTAGAATATTCCTTAATATTCCACGGGTTTCTTGTTCTACCACCAAACCAGACGTCATCGTATGCTAAAGAACCAGTTACTAACTTTGCAACAAGAACTGCTCCCTCGGATTTCAGCCTGCATCAACGTATCTGATTATTCTAATGCACGCACAATATAGAGTAGGCTTCTAGATCTGGCCTTATATGTTATTGATTTCATAGTTTGTCAATACCTCTTATAAACCCAAGCTTCAATATCAAGAACTTGGTCTTTAAAAGATGTTGAACCCCATGTTGTGTTATAGTTAGGTACCGCTATGATGTCCTTCAGACCATAGGGAATCCCATGAAGAGGACCTATATAAAAAAGAAGATGTTTTACCTGTAATCTCTTTTAGCAACTACAGAGAAGCTAGAGAGCAAAATATTGTAAAAAACGTTCCGAGTCTTGAGGCTATTAGTGACACAAGGGAAAGAGATCAAACAAACAAATCGGAATAAACATTTTTAACTCTCTAAATGTAAAAAAGAAGTACCAAGAATATTGTTTCAAGAAGCTACCTATGCCGTATCCTAAATAAGTTTCTCTAAATTAAAATTTAAAAAAAAAAGAAAAAAAAAGGAGAGAAAATCAATTCAGAGCATGAGGTGAGATGTAATAAGTGAAGGAAGCATTGGAAGATTACTCTGGCCGGAAAAGGTAACTGTAGGAAGTGAACAACCTTGAGTGCTTGAAAGGTAAGGTAAACCTTAATAGCGTCAAGAAAAGATCAGTCCGAAGAAACTGGAGAAAATTGTGGCCTGAAGATTTAGGATTTCCCTAATTATGTGTAAACTTTTGATGGTCTAATTTTGATGTGGCCGATAAACATATAATCATTTTCTTCCATGGTACTTACTATGCTGTGATTTTATTTTTCTTCATAGCGAAGTTGGATATATACTATGTTTTCTTTTGAGCTGTACAGGTTCATGTCATCTATGGCTATTTAAAATGAAGTTCCTCTTTCGTCTCTTCCCCACAAAAATCCCCTCACAGCAGAACCATAAATAAAAGTTCATATAGAAAATCCACACTTTTGAATAAAGCAGAATGGATATGGAGAATGCGTAGTGGAATTGAGCGTTGTTCATAGATTGGTTGATGGAAAATCAAAAATTATGAAGGTAAATAAGAAATACATGAAAGAGGTTAGTGGAGAGGAATTGGCACTGTTACCCAAATATTTGCCTTCAGCAAGCAGTTGATCCGCCTCTTTTGCTTGTTTATATGCTAATTCTTCAGTAATTGTAATGACGGATTCAAGGACAGGACCATACCTGCGACGCCCCAGCTGATGCATCATTATGAGGACTAGATATAAAAAACATGAAACAATTGGAAGGAAAGGTATTTGTAACACCTCTTCAGTCTCTTCAAGAAAATTCCAGTCAGCTCCACTGATGTGATTAGATTAGCCTTGAGAAGTTGCCCAAGTTCAAGAATCTGATATAACAGCATAGATGTATGAATACAAGGAAATGCCATAAATTTGAGCGTGTAATTCCTGATATATAGATTTAAAGGGAATAACAGGGAGCAGTTACACTCATGAATGCGATATCCTCATCACTTTTCGGTCTTTCTATACCAGCAGCAGGTGACGGATAATTGAGCTTTTTGTTTGGTTCATTTTCTAGTTGTTGGACCTTCCATGCAGAATTGAAGACTAAACAAGAAGGGTTATGCAGACCTCCGTCAGTAGTGGCAACCAACTTTCGGTTGGATCTGATTATAGGTATGTTAAAGTCGTTTGCGCCCTTTTCGATTTCAAGCATCTGAAAGGAATGAAAAGTAGGGCCAATTATAGTTGTGCTTTGTATTTTTATTCAGAGTAAGAAGGATAACCAGAACAATTACACTATCACAACAGTACCTTAGTCTTACTCAAGAAGCAGGAGTCCAACATTTTGAATCCACATTCACAAACTGGAAGATGTTTGGCCTCTTCCGAGCATACACCGGGGTTTTTAGGACCCAACTTCCCTCTTTCCTGATTAATGGCCAGACAGTTAGACAGAAAGCAGCACAGTTGATAAACTCGAACTGCTTTAAAAATGATAGTCCCAAAAACCGATGTAATTTGATGATGAAAGGAGGCCTACAAGCCGGGTCGACCACTTTGCTAGTGATAACATCTTTTGGCATTGAAACTTTTGCAATTACAGGCTGGAGATGAAATTCTTCATTTATCTTACCTTAAGTTTGTTATCCCCATTAAAATAGTGATTAGTATTAGACAAATAACATTTCGTAATTTCTGTCATATAAGAGCTACTGTATTATATTGCATCGAGAACACATTAATTGCAGGCCAGAAATGGAAATTAAACAAGAGAAACAAAAAAATTGCTGCATTCTTAGTAGCAGCAGCATCTAATAACAAATATACTAGTAGTGGCACAGAAAGTCAAAATAGGAGAAGGGAAAGCATACCATATCTGCAGAATTGTTGCAGGTAACATCCCAGTATCCTCCTGATGAATATGAAGAAACTGAGTTGCTATTTAGCAACAAAGTAAATACAAGAAACAACCGCACGAACATGGGCAACGGCAACAACCGACGACCTGAACTTGCCGGAAGTGGGTAACCCACGTCGCCCATTTCACTCACCACGTTATTATAGGCCATTGGACTTTGATTTATCGGCAAAACTCCGTAGTATATAACTGTTTTTCCTCTGTATCAATGCATTTCTTTGGATTGACGGCACCAATTAGAGGATTCTCACTTTCTATCCCTATGAACAGAAATTCCCAAATTCATTTAATAATAAAAAAAATATTGACTAGTTGAGTCATTGACTTGGTTACGACAAAAAATACTTGGACAGATTCAGAATTACCTTTAAATATTTCCGATTCCTTGACCAGAAAGGCGCAGCCAGCAGGATCAGCAGTCAGCACCTTTACCGTAAAATTAGTACTGCAAATCATACCTTTATATAAAAATACTGAGGCACAAAAATTTGGCTTGTATTTCATTTGGCATCAATTTCAGCTAACTTAGGTTCATCGGTTAGCTAGTTCCACTTGTTAGGAGCAATTACAGATCCCATAACCTTAATTTTTGTACAAATACATGTAATTCTCAATTGCAGAGCATGAATAGAATCAGCTACCTCTCTCCTCTTCTACTTCTATCTTCTATCTCCTCCTTTCTTTTCTGATAATTTGAGAAGTGACACTCTTATTAGAACAGACAAAATAGAAAAGAGGGTACCACATGAAGCATCTTTTGATTTATTTATTTTTTAATTTTATTCCATTTTATTGAATCTTATTTTATACAACATGTTCAAGTGGACACAAAATTATTTCAAAAGAAAATTCACTTCAAAACTATTTTTAACTCATGCAATAAGATTTTTGTGACATACAGCTGAAGAATAGTATAAGCGAAAAGATATAAGGCGAAGAATAGTAGCAAGGAGAGGAGCAGATGAAGAGATGAGGTGTGTCAGAATCATATCAATAATTCAAGAAAGTGACAAATAAAGAAGAAACTGTCCCCTTAAAAATCAAACAATTGTAGATTAGCATTCCGCAATTCACATTACACCGGTAAGAGTGAAACTGTTTTCTTTTCAAAGTCCATTTGAAGATGAATTACTAAGAAATTAAAGTTACATGTTTGTTGTACATTAATTAACTTAATCTTAAGTGAAAATTATTAGGTCAAATTCTATCGTACTGAGGCGGACCCAAGATTTGAGCGCAGCGAAGACACCGCTATATTTGACATAGATATGTCAGCTAATAACGATAAAATTTGGCGCACTAACTCCTTGAAAACTTAATGAATATGAGTTAGTGACCGAAAGGATGTTCAAAAATATAAAAAAACTTAATCAAATAAGATCAAGATTAAAGATCTATTAAGCAATCCAAGCAGAGTCTCAGTCACTGTCGTTGAATCGATAGATGTTTGCTACTTTGCCGAAGTGATCCTTGAAAGCAGAAGGGTTTTTGGAGTTTTTAATTACTGTTTTTGAGGAAGTTTTTGGTAAATTACTTAATTTTATACATGTCAAGAAAGTGATAATGCTTATAAACTTAGATATAAAGATAAAGAAGGTGATTGGCTTTTTGTACTTAATTTTATACATGTCAAGAAAGTGATAATGCTTATAAACTTAGATATAAAGATAAAGAAGGTGATTGGCTTTTTGTACTTAATTTTATACATGTCAAGAAAGTGATAATGCTTATAAACTTATAGCATGCTTGGCCAAACTTCTCAAGAAACCAAAAGTGCTTTTTTTCTCAAAAGCACTTTCCCCCCCCTAATTTGAGGTGTTTGGCCAAGCTTTTTTGGAAAAAAATGCTTTTGGGAAGAAGTAGAAGTACTTTCGGAGAAGCAGAAAAAAGTAGTAGCTTCTTTCAAAAAGCAGAAGCATAAGCAGTTTTGACTTTTCTTCTTACCAAAAATACCCTTAACAAAAAATAGTATATACCAAAATAATCGTTAAACCTAATACTTAGGATATTAATGTATAAATATTTCTTATTATTTTTAGGATAGCTTTCTAATATATAGTGACTTTAGGGGTGGATGCTTTTATATTTGTTGAATAATTTTTAACATATTTAACTTATTTTATTATTGCCTGTAATAACAAATTTTTAAGATTATTTATTTACTTATAATATTAACTATTAAGTAAATGATCTATTCATGTCCTTATTCGTAATTTGATACTTAAAAGCACTTTCTGAAAAGCTTGGCCAAACGCAAATTATTGCTCAAAAGTGCTTTTTAGAGTGATTAGCCAAACACAAACTGCTTCTCTCCATAAGTACTTTTTTCAAAAGCACTTTTGAAAAAAATACTTCTCAAAATAAGTTTTAGATATAAGGATAAAGAAGGTGATTGGCTTTTTATTAATGGAATATTTTATCCCCTTCTATGTACTAGTACTAAATTATTATTCATTAACTTAGAAAAGATAAAGAAAAAAAAATAAGTTGACCACTAAATACAGGATACCACACTGTGTTGAATTCAAAGAGAAAAAAAAATAAAATGAAAAAAAAGAACTGGTGTTAGGTCTCGAACCCATGTCTTCTAGTGAGGAAGGACATTATGCAACTTATTAAACCAACGGAGCAGTTCAGTTTTTCTGCTTGAGGGGCACATCAAAATTTTTGTTAAGATTAATTATTAGTTAATTGATGAGTTAGTTTGTTAGTTAGTTATTAGTAGGCCAGCCGTTTGGCAAATACATGCCAGCTGTATTAGCTGTATTATTTTCCTCCATAATTTGTATATAAGTTTGTATCTGAAGTATCAATAAGATGAGATTCATTTTTCCATTTCTTTCTTCTCCTTCTTTTTCTGTCTCTTCTTCTTCTTCGCACTATTGCTGCATCTAGAAACTTATGCTAAATCTCCATTGGAGCTCAGCTCGAGCTCACCTCCAGTTGACTCTCTAAGTTTTGATATGGTATCAGAGCATAGGAACTCCATCTCCGATAATTGTTCTTCTGTTTTAAATCGACCAATTCTCTGATTCCACTCGATACATGCAAACCTAAATTCGAGTCATTTGGGATTCGTCTGACTGCGATTCACAATTTTCAGTTGCAAATTACTGTTTTGTTCTTTGATACTTCAACTTAATCGATTTAGTCATGGTAATTTTGGATGAGAATGAACATTCTAGTGGTTTAGAAGCCAATTTGTCGGCTGGTGGTGGTCAGTCCGGTGTGGATTTGAGTAGTCCTTTCTACATGCATCCTTTGGATAATCCCGATGCTATGTTAGTATCAGTTCCCTTTAGTGGCGTTGGTTACAGATCGTGGAGGAGGAGTATGTTGCATGCCATTTCTGTGAAGAACAACGTAGGTTTCATCAATGGGGAATGTAAAAGGCCAGATCCAGAATCACAGAAGTTTCGACTGTGGGAGAGATGTGACGATATGGTAGCCTCGTGGATTTTGAACTCATTATCTAAGGAAATTGCAGATAGCGTTGAATATGTAAATGATGCAACAGAATTGTGGAAGGAATTAGAAGATCGATATGACCAAACTAATGGTACAAAGCTATATCAAATTCAGAAGGAAATCAATGATATGTCCCAAGGATCCCTTGATATCACAGGGTATTACACTAAGATGAAGAAGTTGTGGGAAGAACTAAGCAACCTAAGTGCTAAAAATCAATGTACTTGCCATTGCACCTGTAGGGCAAAATGGAGTATGCACAAGGCAGAACAAGATATACGACTAATATAATTCCTCATGGGCCTTAATGAGGTCTATACTATGGTGCGAGGCATCATTTTGATGATGAATCCATTACCTTCAATGGCACATGCTTTCTCTTTATTAGTCCAAGAGGAGAAACAGAGGGAAATTAGACCTAGTAATCACCTTGCTTTGAAATCAACCTCCCTGAGTGTAAACACCTTGAAGAAGAACAATTACAGGACAAATTATTCCCATAGCAATAATTATAATGGTGCAAACAGGTCAAGGCCAGTGTGTGTGTATTGTAAGAAACCAGGGCATACCAAGTAAATGTGTTACAAACTACATGGATATCCTCAGGGTTCAAATCAAAACTTCAAGGGGAATAACAACTTTGGCCAGCACAATTCATATCAGAATTTCAAGCCTAACAATGGCTTTAACAGGGTGAACATGACAGTAGTAAATGTACATGGCCCTCAGGTGGATATGCCACCACAAGATGAACCTGGTGCACAAAAGGATATTCAAGGTGTTAATTTGACTCAGGAGCAGTATGGGCAGATCATGAACCTGCTACAACATTTTCAGATGGGAAATGGAGGAGAGAGCACAAGCAATGTGAATCTAGCATGTGCAACTGGCAACTTTGCAAGTATTGTTGCATGCACATCTTCTATTGATTTTGGTATGCTATTATGTAATTATTTCAAAAATAGAGCCGACTCATAGATATTGGATTCTGGAGCTTCAAATCACATGACCTTCAACAAATCCCTATTGATCAAAATTATAACTTTTCCATACCCACCCCTTGTCATTCTCCCAAATGGATATAAGGTAAGGGTAACACAGATTGGCAGTGTGACACTTATACCTGAAATCATCCTGGATAAAGTGTTGTTTATACCCTTTTTCAAATATAATCTGATTTATGTTCACTCTCTAACAAACCCTGAACACTTAGTTGCTTTCTCTAACAATTCATGTCTATTGCAGGCCCCTTCAATGAAGAGGCCTCTGGTGATTGGTAAAGCCATGAATGGCTTGTACTTACTATGCCAAAAATGCTTGCAGAGCAAACATACAGTCCTACAGTCAGTGTTCTTCCTTTGTCAGGTTGTTGTGCTTGCAACACACAGTGTCATCTTCACAGCACTGTAAATAAGTCATTACTCATGAATAAGTGTGTTCCTTTTTCAATTATAAATAATTCATCTGCAAGCAATAAAGAACAATCTTTTACTCTGAGCTCTCATATACCTGTTGGAAATGATGTGAATGTTCTGTGGCACAATAGACTTGGCCATGTGCCTTTTGTCAAGATGAGAAATGTTACCTCAATACCTGTTAGCTTTTCATTCAAACAGCCTTTCTTTTGCTCCATTTTCCCCATGGCTAGACAAAAAAGACTTCCCTTTCCACAGAAGACCAACATTAACACCAAAATATTTGAATTGTTGCATGTTGACCTGTGGGGACTTTACTATATTACAACACATGATAACCACAGGTACTTCATCACTATGGTGGATGACTATAGTAGACCCACCTGGACTCATCTTTTGTCATGTAAAATTAATGCCCTCCAAACTATTAAAGCCTTTGTGTCCTTGATAGAAAACCAATTCAACACTAGAATCAAAACCATTAGATCAGACAATGGCCTGGAGTTCACCAGTACAGAAGCCAGTCTCTTTTTCCAATCCAAGGGTATAATACACCAAAGTACATGTCCCTATACACCACAACAAAATGCCATAGTGGAAAGAAAACATGAATACCTACTAGAGACTGTCAAAGCCCTTCTTTTCCAATCAAAATTGCCAACTAGGTACTGGGGTGAGTATATTCTTTGTGCAACCTACATCATAAATAGACTCCCTTCTAGTACCCTGAATAACAAATGTCCATATGAACTCCTATACAAAAGGAAACCTAAGTACTCATAGATGAGAAGTTTTGGGTACTTGTGCTACCCTACAGTCCCTAAACCCCACAGAGACAAGTTTGAACCAAGAACTACCCCTCATATTTTTGTTGGTTATCCCTTTAACACAAAAGGATACAAGGTCTTGAATTTGGCCACCAGGAAAATACACATTTCTAGAGATGTCACCTTCAATAAGTTTATTTTTCCCTTTGACATGCATAATGATACTGCATCTTTTCCATCAGTCCTCAATTCCATTCCTTTTATTGATTGTTTGATTGATGAGCCAGAGCAACACATTGTTTAGTACAGATTAAGTGTCACACAACCTACAATGCCCTCCAATCATTCCTCTCATATCACAGCCTCACATGACCAATTTTCTGCATCTGGCAGCTCCACATCAATGAATCACTGTTTCCCTACAGAAGGTGATCCTATGTCCAACAGCCCTGCACCATCTGCACTACATGTTGGACTTAGAAAATCCCTTAGAGAACATAAAACACCTGCACACTTAAAAGACTACATCCATTCCATTCCAAACCTAAAGCCAAAGGATGTTGCCCCTGCATGTCCTGATAACTCTTTTTTACTTAATGCATTATTCTCTAGTCACAACTCCATATCTGCTGAAGCACTAACCCATGATATTCAAGCTCTTGTGAGAAATATTTGTCATGACAGGGAGCCAATTTCATATGAGGAAGCTGCTATCCTACCTGGCAGGAAGCAATGACTCAGGAATTTGATGCCTTACACAACAATCACACATGGGACCTAGTATCTTTACCTCCTAGCAAGATAGCCATAAGATATAAATGGGTGTACAAAATAAGGCATAGGGCAGATGAAGTGTTGAGCGGTTCAAGGCAAGATTGGTTGGGAAGGGATACACACAACAACCTGGAATTGACTACACATAAACATTCTCTCATATGGTAAAGATGACCACAGTTAGAGCTTTGATTGCAACTGCAGTTAAGAAATGATGGTTCTTTTCCCAACTTGATGTCAACGATGCATTTCTTCATGGTGATCTTCATGAAGATGTATATATAGAGGTCCCACCAGGATTGGAGGTCACTAAATCAGGACTGGTTTGCAAGTTGAACAAGTCCTTATATGGCCTAAAACAAGTAAGTAGACAGTGGTATGCCAAGCTGAGTGAAGCATTGTGCTCAAGAGGCTATACACATTCCGTACTTGATTATTCACTATTCTATAAGAAAGAAGGCACTAATGCAATTTGTGTAGCAGTCCATGTAGATGATATAGTTGTCACATGCATTGATACACTGGAATTGGATAGACTGAAGACTTTTCTTCATGCCGGCTTCAAAATTAAGGATCTTGGCAAGCTGCATTACTTTCTGGGAATGGAAGTATTGTACAAGGCAGATGGTGTGGTGATATCACAAAGAAAATTTGCATTAGACCTATTGAAAAAGTATGATTGTTTATCCCAGAATGGTTTTTCTTCTCCATTGAATCCCACTGTCAAGTTGAAAGCCAAAGAGGGTGCCACATTACAAGATCCCACTTATTATAGAAAGTTGGTGGGCAAGCTCAATTTCTTAACTAACACCATACTAGACATTGCCTATGGGGTCCAACACTTTAGCCAATTCATGCAGGACCCCAAAGAACCTCACCTTAAGGCAGCTTTTCACCTGCTCCGATATCTGAGAACTGATCCAATATTGGGGATATTCTTTTCCAAAGATGAGGACTACACTGTGAGAGCCTATTGTGACTATGATTGGGCATCATGTCCAGATTCTAGAAAGTTTGTTAATGGTTATATTGTCTTGCTAGGCCACAGTCCTGTCAGCTGGAAGTCCAAGAAGTAAGAAACTGTTTCATTATCTTCTGCAGAGGCAGAGTACAAGTCACTTCGAAAAGTTGTAGGAGAATTGGTATGGTTGAGCAGACTATTTGGAGAGTTGACTGTTCCTTTTCCTCAATCCATTGATGTCTACTGTGACAGCCAATCCGCACTCCATATATCCAGGAATCCTGTTTTTCATGAACGAACCAAACATATCGAGTTTGATTGCTACTTTGCGCGTGATAAACTTCAAGAAGGACTCATCTCCTTGCACCACATCACTACTAGTGCTCAATTGGCAGACATCCTAACTAAGGCCTTGACAGGCATCAAACATTGTTCCATATTGAACAAGTTGGTTGTGCTTCCCTCACTTCCAACTTGAGGGGGTGTTAAGATTAATTATTAGTTAATTGATGAGTTAGTTAGTTAGTTAGTTGTGTTAGTTTGTTAGTTAGTTGTTAGTGGGCCAGCTGTTTGGCAAATACATGCCCGTTGTATTAGCTGTATTATTTTCCTCCTTAGTTTGTATATAAGTATGTATCTGAAGTATCAATAAGATGAGATTTATTTTTCCATTTCTTTCTTCTTCTCTCTCTTCTTCTTCGCACAATTGATGCATCTAGAAACTTCTGCTAAATCTCCATTGAAGCTCAGCTCGAGCTCACCTCTAGTTGACTCTCTAAGTTTTGATAATTATTTGAGGGGTCTTTGATGTATATACAAATATATATACACAATTTTTGCCGAGACTAGAGGGTTACGATAACCCCTCTCATCTCCATGTAGGTCTGCCTGCATGTTTACTTTGCGGACGTTGAGGTAAGTTCTTTTTCTTATTCTATCTTTTGGATTTTAACGGTACATAAGGACATGTTATCTCGTTTTTTTTTTTAATTCTGAGTAATTTAAAAATATAATATGATACACAGCAAGATATATAATGTTACTACATTCAAACAAAATAAAATGTAATATACAAATAATAAATATTCTTAAACACCATGCAAATACCTAAGAAAAAGGCAACACCTTAATAAAGTAATTTAGTAGAAAACAATTTTATCATAGACTCAAAAGTAATTTTCTATGAGCATTAAGGATATGTACTTTCTTTTTCAGCACTATGCAAAACTATTCCCTCAAACGCTAAAGATATTTTTTATTTTATTTTGAAAAATAAAAAGAAAGAAAACTTATTAAAACGTATGTCCTTCTCTAGCTTTATAAACAAAGAATGAAGGGGTAGCTAACTAGTCTCAGAATCACTGGGCAAATGCA